AAAAAAAAATAAAAAGTCTGGAGCCAAGGAACTTTGCAATCGTGCTGAAGATCAGTCAGACACGAGGCGCGCGGGGCTATTCGGGGCTGAAAAGTACCTGCTCGAACCCGACTCTCCAGCATCTAGTAGTCTACATCTCCATATCACACTATCCGTTCATGCACCCAGCCAGCACTTTCTCGTCTTACTGTCCGCTCTTCCTCTGATTGCTTCCTGGAGGATTCGATTAAGGTTAATTGTCCCAAGAGGGGACGGCCCATAACTAGTTAACTACATATGTACTGACCCAGGTATGATCCTCTAAGTCCTCTCTAGTATCTACTAGTCAGGGACTAAAGCCGTCCGAGCTAACCTCAGCTTTTCAATTTTCCACCACTACCTGAGAATCCCTGGTCCTCATTCCAAATTCGGGGATTCGTCCACGCGCTCTATAATCAATGGATCGATTGATCAATCGACTGATTCCCACCTACTGGGCCGAGTTCCCCGAACAGCCTTTAAAGTCAACTTTAAGCCCTTCCGAAACGCTATTTGGGTGATCGTCTTCTGGTCCATGCACCGAACCGTGTACCAGTCTTCTGGATCGGGTTTGCAAGCCGGGGAGATCTACGCCCATCTGTATTGAAAGGAGTAGAAGAAAAAAGTAAATTGGATGCAGCCGAAGGAACACCCAGAACAAGGCAAGAAGCAGTACTACTTTTGCAGTCCGGTTCCACGGAAACCCACCGCCATGGCCACTGAACTTTACGAAGATCGGCTTAGGACCACGGGAAGAACCGCTTTCTGGGATTAGACGACACCGGGGAGCTGGATGGTGGATCGATCAGTGCATTATTGTGTACCAAAATGCTTAAATACAGCGAATTGTGATGTCCCAGCAGCATAGACCAAGTATGGAGAACCGGGTCGGGAAAATAATGGTCTTTGCATTATGCAGCCATCCAGCTACCACCGCCCAGCACGGTCCAGGTTTCGCAGGAACTTCTGTCGGTTGTTGCAGACTTCTGCTTGGTCCTATCCCGATCAAGGATCACCCTACAGCCACTGAAGTCGCTCAATCGATGGTTAAAGTCAATGATCGTGCCGTGCCTGGCTAAGCTGCCGGGTCGCACACCTTCCGGCCTGCTGGGAAGGTCGTGCACCTTCAGCGACCAATCGAGGCCACGCTTGTCGGGGCAACAGGGGGGATCTGCAGCACTGCAATTGGAGCAAGCTAACTTTAGTCTGCAGCGCAAGGTGACCGGGCTGTCTGATCTTATTCCTTTTCCTTGTCTTATTCTGAGTTAGATGTGTTCTACTTTCTGATTTTTAATTGTTTTCTGTCATGGTTTTGGGGGGAATATTCGCACTACCAGCACCAGCGGAGCGCTAAGTGGTAGGGCGTGACAGGGAGGAAAGCCCGGCGTGCACTAGAACGGCGTCCGAAGAGCCGGCGCCGCTTTTAGGGCCTGTCAGAAACTAAAGCCAGACCTGGGGGGCCGTGATCCCCACGCACGCGCAGAAAGTACGGCGTCTCCACGTAAAGAGATTCCAAATCATGGGTCCAAGTCTTCTTGAGGGATATACGGAGCTCATAGGACATGTTTTCCAAGGTTCAAGGGAATGAAAGTGAGGCGGGTCCAGCCTCACCACTTTCACACTAGATTTCAGGATCGCAGTCATCAGTCGACCATCGCCTCCTTTAGTGGCTATTCAATGACGATGATCTTCAAGTCCAAGTCCAAGACAATGGAACAGGCGACATACGATGACCTTGCCTCGTGCTTATTCTGACAGCTGCTCCTCGTGCCAGCCGTGGATCCGAGTGTTCTGCCATTATCCCAATGAAGCCGCTGACTCAGGGAGCTACGACCAAGCAGGCGTGCAGCAGTATAGTAAGGCGCTCTATACGACGCTAATCTCGGCGATATCTGGAGATACAATCTCTTCGGTATCAATCGGAAGCTTGTCTACACAACTGCATGCGCCTGATTATTAAACACGCCCACTGACAGAGCTGGAATGGTCTGGTGAATAATGAAAACAATGTACCAACCAAACGTATTGCATGAATTCCAATTATCAACTTATCCGCGGAGAGGCCATAATGCGATTATGCGCGGGACTATCATCTCCACCTGGTTCGCACATTGGCGGTGGGCTCAACTCCACACACAAGACCACTTCCCTTATTTTCTCTAACTACCCTATTCCTCCGGTATAGTCATCAGTATTATCAATTACCATCAGCATCGTCAAGGCAGCTCTTTTACTCTTCCACCCCATAGGTCCGCGCAGACCGATGCTGCTTCCACCTGGTCCAATTGGTTGACCAACTCCCTGGCTGCTCCCCTCCCTCCGCCACACCCTGACGAACACTCTAGTTTTAGATCTCGATCGCATCGTCCAATAGAGTCACTTCCAGGATCCCATGACTTCCCAAGACACAAGGATGTAAGATGACGCTGGCCATGACCGCAACAGCAGCAGGCAGATAAATGCTCGCCCCAATCATGATGGAGGTAATTCCCAATCGAACGGATGACGACACAACCAACCTCACCCATTTGATGGATGATCCGGCCGTATATACCTTCCTATCGCGTCGTCCGGGCCCCGGGAGTAGTAAAAAAGTCTCATCTCGTTCATCTGGAGCCTCGCTTCGCCCTCTGTGTTACCACCATCAGGTTCCAGCCCGTCTCCTTCAATTCTATAGGGAGGGAAATAGGAAAGGCAGTGGAAAGCAGAGAAAGTCTTCCGGTTCATTGTCTTTCTCTCTTTCCAGTCCCCGATCAATGGGGCGCCACGTTATGGATAGTCGCGTCCTGGGGTTCGACACTACCGACCGCTTGGGGCTCCCTGTGTAACGAGAGATTCTGGTCGCTACTATTATCAGGCTGGATTCAATTCCGCAACCTATCTAGGCGATCATCAGACTGGCTAGCTACCTATGAGGGTCTACTAACTCGCCTGGAGCGTTCAATCTGGTAAAATGATCTTCGGCGCCTTTTCTCTAGAGGCTAACGGTGTTTGCGCCTACTATACAGTAGATTATGTACATCTGGATCGCGTTATGCCCCCCTTTTACATTTCCCCTATATCGACCACGGGTCTGGCCGTCCTGCTGGCCAACAACTGACCTCCCTTCCTTCCCACGGAACCCCCCTTTGTCTTAAGGAGGGGTGGTGACAAGACGGTCGGAGGAAAGAGACCATTCTCATTGACCACAAACCCCAAGTACTGTTGGACAAACAAGTCACCCTCGGATAATCCTCTTTAGTCAACGGGGCATTTCTACCACGTCCAATTATGCTCAACACCCCCGTCGCACAGATGGTCTACACTTATAGTTTCGGTTCAATTGTTCAACGCCAATAGTTACATGCTTGTCGCCGAGAACATGCAGTGTCGTGTCCTGAAACGAACCCTCGTGACACCGGGTTGAGATGCTTGCAATACAGGATATACTTTCGTCGAGAATCACAAGGCCAAGTGGAATAATACAATCAAGGAAATTAAAGGGGAAAGGGGGAAAAGGAGAACAGGTAGAGAAACAATCCCTCCAAAAGGCCAGAGAGGGGGACATGAGTAATGAAACAGAGGGAGGGAAGAAGAAGCTGGACGTAAGGTAGGCAGGTATGCTTTCACCGCTTGACCCAGGTGGGCATTTTGCGGGCCTTGACATGACCGGGCTTCTTTCTCTCCACACGACGGGCATCCACGGTAACCACACCAGCTGTAAGAAAATAAATCGGTCAGCAATTCGCTCCACCATGACCCAATTCGTTGGGAGTCGGAGATACGTACCCTTCCGCAGGATAGGCTTAAGAGCAGGTTCGTGAACCAGCAGAGCCCGTGCAACAGCCAGTGTAATAGCCTCCGCCTGACCGGTCACTCCTCCACCGCGAACGGTAGCCCACACGTTATACTTGTCCAGCCGTGACGTACACCGAAGAGGCCAGACAGCACTCTCACGGTCATGTAGACGGGGGAACACCTCGTTCAGCGTCTTTCCGTTCACCAACACTTCACCCTCACCCTCAACGAGGTGCACCACCGCCGAGGACGCCTTGCGCTTGCCCTTACCACGGGCCTTGCCCTGTTCATCCACCGTTCTGGGGGCGGGCTTGTTTCCATACGGATTACCCGGACGGAGGAAGAAGTTGAGAGCCGTTCGCACCTCCTCCGGGGCAACATTGGGGTCAATGCGGTTGAGACGCTGCAGGAGCTTGATGAGGCCCTTGTACTTCTTGGTCGGGACGGGCTCGCCCACGGCATCACGGAACTGGAGCAGCTTGAACCAGGCCATTCTGGGGGCTTCGCTGGGGGACACCGTGGGTAATGCGGCATACTTGGCCAGAAGAGCTTCCAGCTTCAGCATATGGTCGAAAAACTTGGGGCTGCCGGAGAAGTAGGCCGGCGACACGGGGATGATGCGGGCAGGCCTGGTGATGAAAGTGTCGAGGTCAATGGGGGGAGCAGCAACGGGTTCTATTTCTGTCGCATAGCTGCGGGCATTCTTGCATTGCTGGAGGAGAGCCGGCGTGGATGGAGAGGAGACCGGGGATGATGCGGAGATCACGGAGCGCTGGATAAAAGGCCGCAATTGAGCAGCTCGACGGATGGAGTGCATGGCGTGCACAAGGCCATTGGGGCTTTGCCAGGCCATGATGCTGCAGACCGGCTGGCAAAGGGGAGCCTGGAGGAATGTGAGGTGAAGAAGAAGAAGGGCAATGGGGGGGAAGGGAGCAAGAGGACGAAGAACACCAACGGACCCAACCGACAAGATTCGCCGGAACCTTCAACTTTCTTACTATCCTGAGGTTTTTCGCCGGAGAGATCACGTGCATCCGGCAGCAAAGGTTGCTCCGGGGCCGAAGCGGTCTGATTCGCACAAATTTGTTTCGAGCCCCTCGACAAGCTGCCGCCGCCTTTTTTCTCCCTCTTTTTCCCCTCCCCTCTCCCTTTTTTTCTCTTCTTCTTCTTCTCCCTCCTCATCTTCCTCCCACACATCCTTCACAATGGCCTTCGGAAAGCTCTACGGTTCCCCTGTATGTGTTTCCGCCTGGTTCAGGAAGTTGTTCTTCCCATCCTAGGGTTTAGAATAGCTTCCTTTCTGCTATGCTGAGAACACCTTGCTAATTGACTCCATAGGAGAACGGTCGCACCATTGCCTGCCTCGTCGCGGCTAAGGCCAACGACGTTGAGGTTGAGCTGGTCAAGACTGAGGCTAACTCTGCTGCCTCTTTCAACCAGTCCGCTGAGTACACCAAGCTCAGCCCCCTCGGCAAGATCCCCGCCTTCGAGGGTGCCAACGGCTACACTCTGTCTGAGGTCATTGCCATCGCTGTCTACCGTACGTTCTACCCTGAATACGCCTTGCGCGTTGCCATTCCCTTTGTTTCATGATGAGCATTTTATTTCAAGTTATCCCTGTCAGAACTGGTAAATAAATAAATAATGTTGATAACGTTTGACTCTGAAAATCATCTCTTACCCCACTTTGGGGTAGTGAAGAGATTTCGTTTTGATTATTTGATGATCACGCAATTGTCTCTTGGTTGGACCTCATGCTGACTCGAATAAAAGTGACCTCCCAGAACGAGAAGACCACCCTCTTGGGCAAGACCAAGCAGGACTATGCTTCCATCCTCCGTTGGTTGTCTTTCGCCAACTCCGAGATCGTCCCCCGCTTCGGTGCCTGGTACCGCCCTCTCTTGGGTCTTGACGGCTACAACAAGAAGAACGTCGAGGATGCTGCCAAGGCTGCTGTGAAGAACGCTGGCGTTCTTAACACCCACCTCACTGCCAACACCTTCCTTGTTGGCGAGCGCATCTCCCTGGCTGATTACTTCACTGCCGCTCTCTTCACCCGTGCCTTCGCTACCGTCCTGGACAAGAAGTACCGTGACGAGAACGTTGCCATCACTCGCTGGTACAAGACCATCGTCAACCAGCCCGCCTTCAAGGCTGTCTTCGAGAACCCCGTCTTCGTCGAGGAGTGCATCAAGTACACTCCCCCCAAGAAGGAGGAGAAGCCCAAGAAGGAGGCTGCCCCCGCTGCCGCCGCTGAGCCCAAGCCCGCTGAGGAGAAGAAGCCCAAGCACCCCCTTGAGGCTCTTGGCCGCTCCGAGTTCGTCCTGGACGAGTGGAAGCGCCAGTACTCCAACGAGGACACCCGCCCCGTTGCTCTGCCCTGGTTCTGGCAGAACTACAAGCCCGAGGAGTACTCCCTCTGGTCCGTTAACTACAAGTACAACAACGAGCTGAAGCTTACCTTCATGGCCAACAACCTGATCGGTGGTTTCCACGCCCGTCTTGAGGCTTCCCGCAAGTACCTCTTCGGTGCCCAGGCCGTCTACGGTTCCAACTACGACTGCGTCATCCAGGGTGTCTTCCTGGTCCGCGGCCAGGACTCCAAGCCCGCTTTCGAGGTCGGCCCCGACTGGGAGAGCTACGAGTTCCGCAAGCTCGACCACACCAACGCTGAGGACCGCAAGCTCATTGAGGACCAGTGGGCTTGGGACACCCCCGTTGTCATCGAGGGCAAGGAGTACCCCTTCGCTGACGGCCACGTCTTCAAATAAGCTGGTGCGTTAGACGTAGCCAATTCATGATGATGATATCCCACTTTTTCCCCCTTCTTCTCTCGTTGGGTAGTCGTCTGAGATGAAACTCGACCTTTAAATAACCTCCGTCTCTTTCTCCTCAGACCGAGGTGTGGGAAAGTTTTCGTGGGGATAGTATGTTCAGGGCGCTATTTCCCGTCCGGTCAACATCTATCTCATCTGATTGCTTTTTCCCCACCTTGGTGTCATTTACCCCCGCCCTTTTTTTACATATCCACGCTACCCATGATGGAACGGTTTACGTGTTTTCATTCTTCGTCGACTCCTTCCAAAAGAAAACTTTTTCTTCCTCTATTTATTTCACGCGTAATGCCACGCTTACGATTGATATGGACCATAGCAGTAGCTAGTCAAAATTAAACCCACTAGCACCTTTGTGCTTTCCATGATCATGACTTCCTCTTCTTCCTTAGTAAATCAGTATTGTAATCATTGCTTGGTATATGTTGCTCTATATGCCATATCAACATCTCGTATGTACTTCATTCATAGTAACCCCTTCGTGATACAAAACTATGTGCATACCCATACAATAACCTAGCTGGTCCCAGCCCAGCCATCCTTTCTCTTAGATTATCCCCCCAACTCCTGCCATGAGTGAATGCACCATTACCATATCATGTGGAACACCCACCTCGCACAATACAGAAGGTGATATCAAATGCAGACAGATAATGAAGAAGGCAACACAAAAAATACCTCAACCCCTCAACCGGTTTTCAATGACTCCTCCAACCGATCCAAAAGATAATTCTCAGACTGGGTCGAAACGGCAGGTGATGGCGAACGATCACTTGCATCACCGTCACCTAAAGTATTACTGACGTTTTCATTTAGATCAAGTCCGGATGGTATGGCAGTGCCACCCGGTGTCGAGTCAGAAGAAGGCGATGATGGGGAGGGAGGAGGATATGAGGAAGGGTCTGTACGTGGTGTGCCGGTATTTGTTTCATCGACAGTAGAAGAGACGGCGGCGGCCACTGGGATAGATGTAGGAGGAGGTTGTTGCTGCTTTTTCGCTTTAGCGGCAAGACGATCTTCTTGCTTCTGAATCTGGCGGGCCCTGGCTTTCTCGGCGGTCTTTTCGCGCTTGCGGGCTTTGCGGCGTTGTTTGCGTGCCTCGGCGATTTCAGCTGGGGTGAGGGGAACGTCGTTGGGTTTGGGTTGGGGTTGTTGTTGGGTGGTTTCGGGTTGTTGTTGTTGTTGTTGGGCTTCGGCGTCGTCTTGGAGCTTGATGTCGAGACACAGGTTGCCAGTTTTGGGGATCGAGTTGTACCATTTGTGGAGGACTTGGCTGACGTCGTCGTGTAAGGATAGCTCCTCGAGCATTTGCAGAACCTTTGTTAATGTGGCCGCGTCTTCTGCGCCGGAGTGTCCGTCGAAGGTGGGGATTTCGAGGAGATTGCTTGGTTCGCTGCTTGCTTTGAGGCGGGTGTCGTCGATTAAGATGGTGTTGGTTTGGTCCCAGCGGGTCTTTTGGAAGGTTCCAGGTACGGATGAGCCCAGGCTTTCGGGGCTGGGGTATGAGGCTTGGACCTTTTCGTCAGCCCAGACGGTACTGAGGGTCTTGTAGACCTGAATTTTGGCATCGTATTGCTGTGGTGTGAGGTTGAAGTGTTCGCGGTGCCATTCGGCGACGATTTGCGTCCGGCTGTCATTGATGAAGAGCTGGCGGCAGATGCCGTCGACGGTGGGGGGACGGGCACTCGACCATATCATGACTTTGTATTTCTGCATCAATGTCTGTATAAAGATGTCTAGTCCCGCTCTTCGCTTGAATCGAGGCGGCATGTACCGGTCAGGCCGATGGACGAGCGTGCCGTTCAAGTCCAAGATGACTAGTAGAGGCTGTTTCCAGGAGTTCCGTTTGGCTGGTTTTGATGACTGCTCAAGGTAGGCTAGTGTTGGAAGAGCTCTTTTAGGTGGTGTCGGAGACTCGAACCTCTTCGAACGAGGGCGAGGACTAGCGCGTGCCTTGGATGAAGACCCCGGGCGTGGCGATGGAACCTGACTGGACATGTTGCGGGTATTGACTCCAGCAGAGCCAGCTGCTTGGAAGGTCATGGGCCCGAATGGCGGCATTGTCATCAATGGATTCGTTGGCGCAAAGTTCATGAATGCAGGCGGGAACATGGGAGGCAATCCACCAGGGAACGCACTCATGTCATTCAACGGAGGGAAACCGAAAGAAGGATTAGTGGGCTCACCCAAAGGAGCTTGAAGAAGCTGTTGCTGTTGCTCCAATGGGAGCTGCCAGAAAGGCTGCTGAAACCCTGGAAAAGTTTCGTTTGGCGCAGCCATGCCGTTCTGGAACGGGAGAAACATAGGTGCCAGATTGAAGTTGTCAAATGTCCCAAAGCTGTTCTGGGATGGATGACCTGGTGCATAGGACGCTGTATTGGCAGACTGTGATGCTTGTGATTGCATCTCTTCCCGAATGTTCTTTTCGGCTACCTGTTTGCTCCGTCGTGGTAGCTTTTGCCGCGGGCGAGCAGATGGGGGAGCATTTCCCGGAGCCGTCGTGCCGGAATCCTCTGTGCCGTTGCGCTTGGTGTTCCTCATTTTCTGACGAGCCCAGCGGTCTTTATACGGTCTCCAGGCAGGCTTATCATCCCCTACCACGGAAGAATTGGAACCATCATGACAAACGCGACTGTCCATACTTGAGGCGTCGAACGCCGATGCATTTGTTGACTCCATGTCGGGCTCAACGGACTGGTTGTTGCGGACAGAGAACTGGGGTGGATTCGAGGATTTATGATAGCATGTGCGGAAAGTGACAGGAGTATAATGAGTGCTGATTGTTCCCAGAGCAGCCTGTCCAATGGTGTTAGCAATACAGATATTCATATATTCGGACAAAAAGTGCACACCTTGGAGGACACCCCACTATGAAACTTGCGATCAGGAGAGGGGACTATCGGGGCGGGGCGGGGCTTTATAGCAATCGGAGACAAACGAGGGAATAGGCAGCATTGGCGTACTCGCAACATGAATGGAAGATTCCTGGAAGATGAGCGACCGAAGTAGGAATCCGCCGCGACACAAGAGAGTGAAGAGGATGAGAGCAGCCAACGATAAAAGAAAGATAGAAGATATGCGGAGGCAGAAAAAGTGACCTACTTATCGGGGGATCTGGCCAATCAAGGTGGTGACGCCCTGATCGCCGCCTTCCAGGAACGGCAGAACGACCTCATTTTTTTTCGGCCGCCGATCTCACCGCCTGGCCAGCTTGGGTTTTCATCTCACCTTGCTTGAACTAAATACACTTATACATCCCCCATCCAAGAACTGCGAAATGGCTATTTCAGACCTATTGAATCGCCGCGTGCGAGCTGTCGCTCAGGATGACGAGGAGCTCTATTCTGACCAGTCTGGCTCGGAGCAGGCGAGCGACGATCTCCGCTCTGACGAGTCGGGCTCAGAGAGTGGCAGTGATGGTTCCCTAGACGAGGACGACGAAGACGATGTGGTTGGTTCCCTATTCTTTGGATAGATGTCGCAACATACTGACTATTTCGCAGTCTCAAGTCGACCCGGAAGATATGGATGATGACGAGGAGGACGACGAAGATGACGAAGACGACAGCGACGATCCCCAAGACGACGTTCAAGCCTCACTAAGCAGCATCTCATTCGGCGCATTGGCGAAAGCACAAGCATCTATAGGCCCCAAATCGAAGCGGTCATCCAAGGCCTCCAAGACAGAAGAGGAGCCTGCCGCTCCTTCCCCCTTAGACGACATTCGAGCGCGGATTCAAGAAGCGCGCGAACAGAAACGTCAAGCGCTGTCGAAAAACAAGGACTCTGAAAAGCATTCCCGTTCCTCCAAACATGCGCCGGCCGTACAATCCTCCAAACATGCCGTCTCCCGCAAACGGACAATCATTGAGCCGCCGAGTGTGCCCAAGTCGCGAGACCCCCGCTTCGACCCGACTGTCTTGAGCCAGGGTGGCCGTGGAAACCCTCAGGCAGCGAGCAACGCATACGCATTCTTGGACGAGTATCGTCGGGATGAGCTGAAGCAGTTGAAGGAACAATATGCCAAGACAAAGAACCAGGAACAGAAAGAAGCTCTGAAGCGTACGATTCGGTCGACTCAAGACCGTCTTCGAGCGATGGAGAACAGGAAACGTGAGAAGGAGGTCTTAGCGGAGCATAAGAAGAAGGAGAAGCAGCTCATCCGTGAAGGAAAGAAGAGCAACCCGTACTTCTTGAAGAAGTCGGACCTGAAGAAGCAGGTGCTGCTCAAGAAGTACGAGAACATGAACTCCAAGGACCGCACCAAGGCACTCGAAAGGAAGCGCAAGAAGACTGCAGCCAAGGAGAGAAAGGAGATGCCCATGGAGCGGAGAGCCTTGGCTGGCGACGATGCGCCGAGTGGCGGTGGAGGTGGTGGTGGCTGGAAACGCCGCCGAGTTGCATAGATGCTGGAGCTTGTCTGATCCTGATGCCTGGCCCATCATATTGTATATAGTTCACAACTGCATAGGCATATATTCTCTACAAAATTCATTTCAGAACATCATTTCCACGCCGACAGTCCGGGAGTGTTTATATAGACACCGTATTACTTATCATTATCCAAAACCGACCTTTTCCTTCCAGGCGTAGTTGCAGCTTAGTCAGAGAGAAAAAAAAAAAAAATGAAGAACATATTATCACTGCCAGATGGCGAACAACCAACATCCAATAACTATTGCTGTACCAAGATAATCAGACGCGTAAGCACAAACAAACAATCAAATGGTATCGCAACAAGCCATAAGTCAATGACGCAAGGATCACCGAAATCTGAGGTCCTCGAAACAATATAGACATGATTCTTCGAAGAACATGATCTTTAAACCCATAACAAAATAACGCCTCATGTCCAGAACAAAGCCAGTTCCCCTCGAGGGGACGATCGGAGAAAAAGGGCAATGAAAGAGAAGAGATTGAGTAATGATCGAATAGAAATAAACACTGGAACCAATGGCAAACAATGAAGGCGTCTGGCCTAACATGGTATAAGATGCAAAAAGGGTAAAAGGGATGAGATTGAAGGGACGGGATCCACCCTTCCGTTCTTTTTCAAAGAGCGACTGTTCATGCGGTTCATATAGGTAGTCGTGTAGTTCGGCATATGCATCATGTCTAGAATAAATAATATTCTTCAGACACACTCCCTCCACACGTAAAATCTGCTGTTTTTGTGGGCCCGCAGTTCAGCCGGGGGTGATTGCTCCCAAATAAGCACCTTCTGCTGGGTCATGCCTATCCATAATTTCTCAAGTACTGACCACACCGAATAGCGCATGAGAGAAGATTGGCGGTATTTGAGAGTGCATTCATAGCGACGGGCCAAATCAGATCGCATAGGGAGACCCTAAGCAATTGGTCATGGTTTAAGAATGGAATAGGTCCCAGGCTCGTGCGCAGAGACTAAGGAATTCTTCCTTCTTTCTGCGCTGGGTCTCGGGCGAGTCTCTCCCAGCCCCAAATGGGCCATAGGTGGCACTTGCACCAGAGGCCAAGGCTGGGTTAGGGCGATAATGTGGGTCGGGGCCGTGGCCCAAGGGCGGGCTGCCGTGCTCATGTTCGTACTCGTTTCTCGAGCGGCGCCGAGCAGTACCCTCGGATGGATACAATGACGGCTGCGGGGGGTGCGCGTTCGCCATGGGCGTAGCATCCGAGTGAGGCACTCCAGACTTTGGTGGTCCGTTAGCCACACGGGGAGATGGTGGAGTCGGGGGTTGGTGGCCGCCGTAATGTACAATGCGCGGCAGAAGCTCCTCGCGCCCACCTGACAGTTCCTGGACAGCTTCCTCGGCGGAACGGTACTCCCTGGGGCGCTTGGGAGGTTGAGCGGCATCCCGGGAGATGCGAGGGGAGGGAATTGGGGGAAGATTGTTCGATTGAGGCGGGTTTGCAGCTGTCGCGCTGGGGTAATATAGTCCCCGGTTTGCCTCGCGATCGCGGCCCAACGCCTCATTTCCAAAGACGTCAGAGAGCGGGGGCAAGCGATTGGTTGTTTGCGTAGCAGGGAGGTGATGGATGTGAGATGTGGACCCCAAAGTCGGGCTTTGGTTAACAACATGACGGGTTAAGGGCTGCGCTTCGTTTCGGCCCGTGAAGGTCTGATTCAATGGCGCGGATTGGATGACACGTTCACTAGCAAATTGGGCTGCGGAAGGAGGCACGATGGAGAGGCCAGGCGGGGGTCTTCTCTTCGATGCACCGACCCGGGGGAGGCCGAATGATTCAGATGGCTTGATTCCATCGGGCCCGTCATCCTTGGCGGACTTCTGTAAACGCGATTCGATTATTGAGCGCTGCTGATCCCGAACCGATAAGCTCCGCTGCAGCTGCTCCCTCATCACAGGGTCATGTGTTTGGAATCCCGGGGACAGGCAAGCGATCCCGACCTCTTGCATGTTGACACCCTCTCTCGCAGTCATCGGGCCGCCAGGAGGCCGTGCGGACAAGCCCCCCGAGGTCGGAAGGCTACTGGAAAGGTCTAATCTGCGAGGGCGAGGTCTAGTATGAGACTGCATTGCCGGGGAGGACGGAGGTTCCTTTTTCACGATAACTCGACTCGCAGTGGATCCGGCCTGTGATCTGCTGAAAGGTCAACAATCTGCATCGGCGATTCAGCCAGCGACTGTCGGGTAAGATACTTACGAAGGCGAGGTCGGTTTCTTTCCTGCAGGCGAGCTTTTGGCCGACGACACATCCCGAGAGACACCGGATGGGCGCGGCGGCGTGGTACTCGTCTGGTTACCTGAAGATGCAGGCGCCAGTGTTGGGCAATTTTTCGGACTGATATCGCGGGTCATACGCGGAGACGTGAGCGGAGCAGCCTGGGCAGGCGCAACCGCGGTCGACATAATGACAACGAAGGGTGACGGATTCGACAGGACACAAAGGAGCGGGAAACTCCTTGGCGAAAGCACACAGCTGACCAGGGGAAGCAGTCGAATCAAAGGGACGGTGCAGCCGTCAAACCGATTTAGGCTGGCGAAAGAGAAAAAGAAAAGAAAAATTCCCCCTCGGGAGCTGTCTCACACAGCCACCGACTATATAGCGTGTTCCTGTACGGTGCTAAGAACTGTGCCACCCAACGTCTCACAGCCTGGAGCAGGTGGAGTATCAAGCTTTCTCTAACAAGCGCTGGAATTATGGGGGTGGTAGGGCGAGATCGGATGAAAGCGCGCGCGGATTTGGGAGCTCGGTAGCGGAGGCGGCTAATATTGGTCTTCGGGGGGAGGCGAGGTCGAGGTTGAGCTCTGGAATGGGGGCGGAAGCAGCTTTCAAAAGACCGACGGATCCAGCCCGAACAATGGAAAGGCACGGAGGACGGAGGGGAAGAAGGAGGAAGAGATCAACGTTCAATGTGGCACCCCAGGAAACAGTCGTCAAACAGGTGGTGGGAGGTGACAACGACGGGGAGTGGTCAGATACTTGAGGGAGGCGGTTAGCTAAGGCTGGCCGGCGGCAGTGTGACAACGGTTAGAGGTCGGTCAGGCCGGGGGGGTGTGGTGTTCCAGAGCGACAAAGCGATAGTGTGTGGTGGAAGCGGATCTCGACAGGTCTGGCCCCCATGCGAGGTAGGTAAATGGCCCGAGAAGAAGGAGGGGAAGGATGGAAGGAGGGGGGGGAATCAATATTGAGGATATCACGATGATGCTGATATAATAATGATATTCAAGGAAGAAATGAGGAAGGGAAAACAAAAAGGAAGCTAACAAGAAGTAGAGAGAAGGAAGAACAGGTAGAGAGAGGGAAAGTAGAAAAAGCAAAAATAACAGTAAAAGGCAAAAATGAGGAAGAGGGGAAGAGGAAGGAAGAAGAAAGGAAGAAAAGAAGGCTGAGAAGACCAGACCCGAGCGAGGGAGGATAAATTGTATGGATGATGGAGAAGAAGAAGCAGAAGGTGGACTAACTAGTAAGTAAGGTAGGTATTAGTTGGGAGGGCGGTATGGGGCAAAGTTGTCTGGTATGGAAGCGGGAT